TGTAGAACGAGTAACAATGTTGTTAGATTATTTTGAGTTAAATTTTCGAGATGAGGAAGCAAAACAATATTTATATAGCGATATTCCATCTCATTATGTATTTAAAAAAGTTACAATTAATGGCAGAACTGTTAATCGTTGGGAGAAACGTCAAAGATACTTTAATTGTATTGGTCGTATGTATTCTGTCAGTCCGTCTCAGATAGAATTGTTTCATTTACGTATACTTTTATTACATGTTAGAGGAGCTACGAGTTTTCAAGAATTAAAAACAGTCAATAACGAAGTACATGAAACTTTCAGTGCCGCATGTTTAGCATTAGGACTCATAGAAGATGATGAAGAATGGTATCGTGCAATGAACGAAGCAAAAGTTTGGATGATGCCAAGACGACTTCGTAACTTGTTCGTACAAATTTTGATTCATTGTCAACCTGTTTATCCGAAAAAGTTATGGGGCGAGTTTAAAAAAGATATGTCCGAAGATTATATAAGACGATTTGGACTTATAATGGGAATAAAGAAAGCTTACAATTATATTGACAATTTGCTTCAAATAGAAGGATCTAATATTACTAATTTTCCTGAAATGGAACAAGAAACAGAGGAACAAGTAATAATAGACAATGAAGAACAGATTGAGGAGGATACATTGATAGGTATACGACAATATGAACAATTAAGTGTAGAACAAAAACAAATTGTTGATATTATTTTAGAAGCAACAATAAATAACAATAATACTTACAATAATACTTGTTTTTATATTGATGGTCCAGGTGGTACCGGTAAAACTTTTATTTATACAACATTGTATTATTTACTTAAAAGCAGAGGAAAAGTAGTAAGTACCATGGCATTTACTGGTATTGCTGCGACATTACTTCCAAATAGAAAAACAATACACAAAGTTTTTGGATTACCTGTACCTCTTTTTGCCGATTCTACATCGAACATTAAAGTTCAATCTAAAGAAGCTGAAAATTTAAAACTTGTGGACGTTTTTGTTGTAGATGAAGCTCCTATTTATGTATTAGAAATAATGGATCGAACATTACGCGATATAATGCAAAATGATTTATATTTCGGTGGTAAAATCGTTCTTCTTAGTGGAGATTTTAGACAATTATTACCTATAAAACAAGGAGCTACGCGTTGTGAAATTATAAATTTATCGATAAAATTTAGTACTTTATGGAAACAATTTAAAACATTTTCATTGACACAAAATATGAGAATTTTACCTCAAGAAAAAGAATTTGCACAATTTTTATTAAATTTAGGTAACGGATCTTTAAATGATCACTCGGATAATATTCATATTCCAGAAAAATGTGTAGCAAACGTTAACTCTGATATGATAAAAGATATGTATGGAGACATTATAACACATAAGCGATATAAAACTATGGCTAATCACGTTATATTATCTGCAAGAAATGTCGATGTTGATGAAATAAACGAAAAAGTAGTAAGTTTGTTGGATGAAACAACAGAGAGAGTTTATACAAGTGTAGATACTC